TGATGTGGGACTTGAACTCATGAAACCCACAGATCATGACATGGGTTCTGGCCAAAAGTTGAATGCTTAATGCTTAGCTGACTAAACCACACAGGTGTCCCACAAGTAGTTTTTACTTTTAATGAGAAATCCTGTGACTATTATCTCAGACTTTAAAGGCAAGGAATTAGGAAAAGTATATGACATGTTAAAAATGGCTAACACATTCTTTTATAACTGAATTTTTTTCTCAAAGAAGATTTAAAAAGCACTACGGGTTCTTTTCTTAACACAGAAATTAGCTCTATCTGTTTATGGTATTAATAATTTTGAATATTGGTTCTCAAGAAGTATGAAAGGATTTAGGAATACTCTGCGAAGTTTGGAGCTCATAAGCTTCAAAACTACTGCTGTACTATTGGAGATGCTGTCGAAGTAGGTCTGGATCATTCAAAAAGGTCCCACATTGACAAGGCTAGAACCTCTGAAAAGGTGCTGCTGACATCCAGAATTGTCCCCTGCTGCTGCTGCTGCTGCTGCTACAACAGCACCTACTTCACTTCTGGAGCCAGGGGCAGGAAGCTTCTCTTCTTCCCCCTGCTCTTTGGTCTCCAGCTACTGTCCTTCTGCTGGCAGAACTGAACAGGAAACTAGCTGGCAGGGAGCCTGAGAACTGTAATTTTCAGAGTCCCAGCACCTAGTGTAGAATGGAGTATAGAAGGTGAGTGTGGGGCCTAGAGATAATAGGTGAATTACCAATATCCCTTGCCAGAAGCAAATAATGATGAAAAGTTAAGCAAGTGTGTGTGTGTGTGTGTGTGTGTGTGTGTGTGTTTGCATGTGTTTGTGTGTATCAGTTTTTATTTATACAAGTACTAATTTATTATATATACTGTAACATGCTTTGATTTTTGTTTCGTTTGTTTGACTTCACTTTGTTTGGTTCATGAAACTTCTTAATTTTTTTTTAAGTTTATTTATTTTGAGAAAGAGAGCGAGAGAGAGAGAGAGAGGCAGGGAGGGGCAGAGGGAGAGAGAGAATCCCAAGCATGCTTTGCACTATCAGCACAGAGCCCAATGCAGGGCTTGATCACGCAACCCTGGGGTCATGACCTGAACCGAAATCAAGAGTTGGGCATTTAACTGACTGAGCCACCCAGGCATCCCACTTCTTCATTCTTTTTATGATGCTAGGGTATTTCTTTCTATGAAATGTGCTGTGATATATTTTACCATCACATTTAGGTTGTTTTGCAATTACGAACAATGCTTCACTGAAAATTATTATATTTATGATTTTGCACACACGATCATAGGATACATTCCTAGAAGAAGAATTGCTCTTTCAGATAGTATGGGCACTTGTAAATTATAATTCTCATTTATAAGCCTTATGGCATGTCTTACCCCTACCAATTTACTTTTTGTTCATTCAATATTTAGTGCTACACCTATGTAGAAATGCTGAAAATCCCAGGTCATATAGTAGAGACACAGCATAACCACAGACAGGGCCTTTAAATGTAGAAAATGGCAGTGGGAATGGGCTTCATGATTTATGCATAAGTTACCAGAGAATAGCGCTTTCAGCTGGGCAAATGATGGAAGGAAGGAAGGTGGATGATTCAACAACAAAAAGCCCTAGGACAAAGAATACATATTGGAGCTAGGATAATGGAAGAAGGAAAAATAGAATTAAGAGAGAAAAATTATTTGCATAGATGTCATTCAAACACCAAAAAAGCCTGAAGCCTGTGAAACTCAATACAACAGAAAATGCCTTTTCATAAAAAGCAGAATTGTTTCTAAAATGACTATTGACATTTAGAAGTATTTTCTGGCCATTCCTCAACCATATCCATCATTAATACATGTTTGCTAAAAAAAATTAAATTTCAGAGATGAATATGATATTAAAATAAAAGTCACCCTTTACCCTTTTCCAGAGGTAATAGTTGTAAGTTTGGTATGATTTCTTTAAATGTATACACCAAAATGCACATATACATATGCATACATTTTTTTAAAAGAAAAGGTTTATATTATATATATTATTCTCCAATCTTCCACGTCTCCCACTTGAAAAACCAATATAGCATGGCTCTCTTTCATGTAGGTATGTTGTATTCTTTTTAATGATTGCACACTCTTCTATAGTATGCAAGTATCAAAATATATTTTTATATTCACTATTGGTGAATGTTTTCAGGTTGTTTCATTTTTTTAATGTTTATTTTTTTTGAGAGAGATAGCACACATGTGTATGTGAGTGGGGGAGGGGCAGAGAGAAAGGGAGAAAGAGAATCCCAGCAGATTCAGATCTGTAGATCAGCATCATCTCATGCTTCCTATAAGCAAATAATACCTGGAGTAGTAATTAGTTTGGAGGCAAAAAACAGCATTCACTATGGAAACCTATTCCTATGTAGAACCCTTTCTTCTTTAGAAATACCTAAAGCATTGATTGTTTATTCAGTAGTTATCAAAGGATGGCTTTTGTGTTAATTTCAATACGATGGACCAAAGTTTTACCTGCTTCTGTCACATACTTGAAATTTAAAGTGAGAAAGATGAACTTCACGTAGTAAAGAATTTTATAGGGATGAAAAAAGATGATGTATGTGAAACATTTTGAGCTTCTCTGAGGAACAGTAAGATGTAATAACTGTTTAAAATATAAATGCATTAGTTTAGATTCCTTTCACAAAAGTGCCTATTGAGTGTAAACCACGTAGGTATTTTCCCCAACTACTTTATCTCGTGAAATTGCTGATGGTTGGTTGTGGAAGTCCAGGAAGGAAACTGCTGAGCACCAGATATGGAGCAGTGGGACTCATGTTAGACTGTGAGACTAATCCTGCTGCCAGCCCAGTCTGGCACTGGAACCTAATCATGCCACTTTAATGTAAGTCATCACACCCTCTCATTTTATTTGAGAATAGTGCTGTCTGCTTTTTTTCATAGTCATATCTGTAAGTCAGGATGACCTGAGATGAAATGTAAGGATGCTACTTTAAAAAGCTTGCTGTTCATCTCATTAGGATGATTCCAGGAATTAGGAATATTTATGTGTCTGGGCACATCTGTGAGGGTCATTATTATGCCCTCTCAAGAAGACATCAAAAAGTGAACAAAAAGAGAAAAGATTGAGAGATATATGAGACACAGGTTTTTGACTAAATTATAACTTTTGCAGGACATCAGAGTTTTGTTATCCTAAGACTCATTATGTACTACCATTCCTTTTTTCATGAACTAAGAAGATACAATAAATGATTAATTGGAATTCAGATAAAAAGTTGTATTGATTTAAAAATTATTTGTGTTGGGGTGCCTGGGTGGCTCAGTCAGTTAAGTGTTTGACTCTTGATTTTGGCTCAGGTTATGATCTCACAGTCATGGGATCGAGCCCCATATCAGGCTCCATGCTGGGTGTGGAATGTGCTTAAGATTCTCTCTCCCTCTCTCCCTGCCCCACCCCTGTGTGTATGCGTGTGTGAGAATTCAAGTTCGGATTTGGCTTTTATTTGTATAACATATTCTGGTTCATTGTTCATATATAGATAATTTCTTTGTTTTTTGAGAGCAAATTACTGCAAAGCTTACATTGGTTTACATTTTGTATATTTAAGAATTCTAAAAAAAATGATGATTTCAGTGATTTTAATTATGTTTTTTCATCTTTAAGCAGTTACTTTTTTCTTTTTTTAATTTCAGGCCACTTTCTGAGTTCTATCTTAAAACTTTTTTTTTTTTT